ATTCCAAACAGAAGTGAATTGCAGTAATCAAGCCTAGATGTTATGAACATCTAGACATTATAAGCTACGAAGAGAAGAACGAGCTCATCCTCAACACAGACAGACCAAAGAAATTATATTGGACTTCAGGAAGAAACCCCCCTCCCCCATTACAGCCCCTCATCATTAAAGGTGCTGAGGTAGGGAGGGCTGACAGCCATAGATTCTTGGGACTGCAGGTTACATCAGACCTGAGCTGGTCTCTCAACACAGTCACAGTGAAAAAAGCCCAGTAGGCTTTACTTCATTAGGCTGCTCAGGAAAGCAGGTTTGGACCAGCACCCTCTCCCCCCAGGCCTACAGAGGACAGATAGAGCATCCTAACCACAGGCATCACCGTCTGGTATAGGAACACCACACAAGCAGAAAGGAAGGCACTGCAGAGTCATACAGACTGTGGAGAGGATCACAGGGACTAAACTTCCTTCATGGACTCTATGTATGAACAGCACAGTTGAAGAAGAGCAGCAGGAATCATCAAGGTCTCACTCCATCCAGCTCACTCTCATCAGACACAACAACTGTTCATCTAACCTGAGACACAGCAGAGCATCATCACCAGAGTACAAGGTTTTTAATAGTTGTTATCTGCCACAGTCAAACTGATGGCAAAACAAAACCACCGATCAGGTGCAATAATAGCCCCACACCACGTAACTTCACTGGTCATGTGACATGGTTTACGTTCTGTACAGTAGAGGTATAAACCACTTTGTTCTTATTTTATTTATTTAGTGTTTCAGTGTTCTGATTATGATCGAGAGCTCTGCACAAGAACTCCAATGAGCCTGGATTGTTGGTCTGTGCACAAATGGCAAATAAAGAACGTTGTACCTTTGTTAAGTGGAACTCTGGGATACATTACAACATTTTTCAGTCAGGTCATCTGGACAGTTTCTTTTTTTTTGTGCTGAAATGTTTCACCTTCGATCCAGAAGGCTTCATCAGTCAAGGAAACGCACAACAAAACTGATTCTTCCCCCAACAGCTCTCTCCAAAGTGGAACAAACCAGTTTATTAGGTTTAAATATGACCATTGTCTCCCAACTTTTTATCTTTATGCGCAAAAATCAAACTGCAGCCAGCTCCCAGATCTCACTCAGATCTGTCAGGGGTCCAGATCTGCAGCAAACTGCCAAGAGCCACGTTTCCAAACCTTTCTTGTGCTGCAGCTCCGACACAAAACTAGAACAGACTGGAGAAGTTTTATCTGATGAATCGACTTTAACAGTTTCACATCATGACTACGAATGGGAATTCTTAGCAGTTCAATTCCCTGGAATTGTAGGCGGCTTGCCTAACGACTCGTCGTGATGACATCACAGACATGCGCCGTACTTGGTATTCAACATGGCGTCGAGGAAGAAGCGGTCTAGCACCACACATGACCCTACTTCACAAAAAAAGACAAAACCAGGGCTACTTGCAACACATGCAAAGCGTCGATAACAACAAAGGGCGGAAATACTTCTAACATGCAGAAGCATTTGACCACGCAGCATGTGGTTAGTTTGCACAAATGGACCGTCTTTAACATGCTGTTTGGTGGTGGGGGTGGAAGTGGAGCTAACAAAGCATCCTCCTCCGTCTTAAACGTTGCAGCAGGTAACAGTAAACTCCTCCAGGTCCTGTCGACTGTTACCTTTTGCTGTCCTGCTTTCACTGTATTGTATAAATAATCTCCATCTCCTGTAATAACATTTAGTTGACGAGGACTGCCGGAGTCTGGCTGGCTCCGAGGCTGGTGCTAGCACACCTTTAGCTGCCCCTTTCATCGAAGCAGGGAAGAGTAAAATGTTTAACGGTTTTATATTTTTGTTCAGTGTGTTTAATTGTAGCCTATTTCTGTTGTGAGACCGTTTCTTGCTGCTCAGTGTTTTTCATGGTGAATTTCTTCTTAAGCTGTCAGAGCTGAGAGACAGAGGCAGGAAGAAGAGGATGAAGATGGTAACTATGTAAGTTTAGCTTTTTGTAATGAAAGATGATAGATTGCATGGATTATTACACTATTTCATTTAAAACTGAACCTTGTGGATTACAAGTTGTGGTTATGTCAATAATTTCAGACGCCTCCCATTAAGCAGCAAAAAAAGACAGCCCTAGAAGAACTCTTTGAAGAAGAGGACAGCAAGCTTCTGTCAGTGCAGCAGCAGCCCCCCATCTCCACAGCTCAGAGAGTGGATGGAGAAGTCCATCTATACAGAAGCCTATCACCCATTCCAACCAAGGACAGCCCCACCCTCTGGTGGTGGATGAAGGACACACTGCCCATATCAGCTTTAGCTGAGAGGTATCTCTGTGTCCAAACATCCTCCACCCCATCTGAGAGGGTGTTCTCCACAGCTGGAGATACTATAAGGCCAGAAAGATCTCGTATCCTTCCTGAGAAGGCAAACATGTTCATTTTTCTGCACAAAAATTGCTAGTTTGCCAAAATTTAAAAGTGCAGTTGTGTTTTATGACGATGTGTTAATAATGTTAATTAGGAACTCTTTTTTCACACCAGTTCTATTTTTGTTCTGGTGAAAGAGCATCAAATACTTCATGCACACAAATGGTGTACTATATTTTATTGCCTAACCCAATGAGAATTGATAAGGAATTGAATCGATAGGTGATATCGATAAAGGAATTGGAATTGCCAAATTCTTATCAATTACCATCCCTACTCATGACTTCATTTAGATCCAGGACACAGACTGAACTCAACAGCTTCTCACATGATTTGAATCAAAGTGCACAAAAACAACAGAGTCCATCCATCATGTTGGTGTTTATTAAATAATAAATGATAGCATGGTGGACGGGACGCATACACACAGGGGAAAGAACTCACTGATAGGCCATAACATTAAGACCACTTTCATCTTGTTACAACTAGACCTTCATCCTGGCCTCACGAGGCCTTCAACACCTACAAAAATATTTGGGATGCCCAACAGCAGAACCATTAATAGGTAGCGCAGCTTTACGTATAATTAATGCTGCAGTTTCTCCCTCACCCCCCACATACCTTGATAGTCTGGTAGGAACCGCTGTACAGGTGGTTCTGGGAGGCCACCAGAGCTCTGACCCAGTGGTTCAGACCAGTCAGCTCCTTCTTCAGCTTGAGCTCTGTGCCCATGATGTCCCACACCTGCACACAAACACAAAAACAAGAATCGCTCTACACTGATTCTGACTGGGTCAGATTTAGGAGATCAGGTGACAAAACTGGTCCAAAGTCAAGCACAAGCAGCCAGTCAGAGGCACAGCTGGGCAAAGACCAGGACCTGATCCAAGCTGCTGAGGACTGCAGTCAGTACAGGGAGCAGGCTCGTTCCTCTGAGTGCACGTCGGTGGTTTAAGTTCAGGACAAACAACACGTGGATGTTTAACATCAGGGTGGAGCAACACCTCCAGGTACTCAGTGCTCCCACTCAATTCCTCTATTTTGACTGGCAGGAATAAAACTTTAAACTTACGTGTTTGTTAAAAAAAACTGCTTTAAATAAAGCTACAGAATTCCTTAGAAACCTTTAGGCACCTAAATATTATGAACGTAAAGTAAATGATCATGCAACGTCACTGCTGACCCAAGATCAAGAGTTTTTTAGAAAAACTCACACAGATGTGATTAAAGTTCATTCGACCGACTGAATGTTGTTGAAGCTGCTTTATTTGTGCAGTTTAGATTTAAAGTGTTACAAACAGTAAACTTCAATCATTAAATCCTGATCGGGACCTTTCTGGTGGAGTTTGCATGTTCTCTCCGTGCATAAGTGGATTTTCTCAAGGTACTCCAGTTTCCTCCCACAGACCAAAAACATGCATGTTAGACTGATTGGTAACTCTAAATTGTCTCTAGGTGAGAGAGAGAGAGAGTGAATGGTTGTTTGTGTTGATGTGTCCCTGTGATGGACTGGAGACATGTCCAGGGTGTCCCCCACCACTCGCAGAGTGACCGCTGGATATGGGCACCAGTGACCCCCTGACCCAAAATGGAAGAAGCGGATAGGAAGGGAGGAAGGAAGGAATGGTAGAATGAAGGAAGGAAGGACAGAATAAATGAAGGAAGGATGGAAGGAAGGAAGGAGAGAAGGAAGGCTGGAATGATGGATGGATGGAAGGACAGATGGAAAGAAAGATGGAAGAAAGGATGGAAGGAATGATGGCTAGATGGAAAAAAGGAAGGAGGAAGAGAAGGAAGGATGGATTGAATGATAAAATGATGGATAAATGTAAGGAAGGAAGGTAGGACGGAAGGAAGGATGGAATGATGGATGGATGGAAGAAAGGATGGAAGGAAGGAAGGATGGAAGAAAGGAAGGACGGAAAGAAGGAAGGAAGGATGGAATGATGGATGGATGGAATGATGGAAGGACAGATGGAAGGATGGAAGCAATGACAGAATGATGGATAGATGATAGGAAGGAAGGGAGGGAAGAAGGAGGGAGGGTGGATGGATGGATGAAAGGAAGGAAGGAATAATGGAAGGAAGGATGGAAGGAAGGAATGAATGATAGAATGATGAATAGGTGGATGGGAGGAAGGATGGAGGGAGAGTGGACGGATGGATTTTAATCTGATTCAAGTCATATTTCTTGTTTTTGATTAACTCAGAGACCTGGTCCCCCACCCACCCCACCCCACCCCCACCCACCCCCCACCCCCCCAGTGCTGCTTGTAGACTGGATGTTGTTCCTCGTGCTGCCTGTCTAGTAGATGGGATTGTTTAAAGTTTATTTTAAAGATATATGCTTTAATTTGAACTCTGTCACCTTCTGTTCAGTCGTTCCGTCTTAACCTTCTTGTGAATTAGTTTTAATCTGGTGTCTAGATTTAAGGGAACTCATAAAATACACTTTATTATTATTATGGCTGACATTTTCCTATTATTGTAAAAATAAATAAATAGAAGTCTAGACTGATAAATCTTCATTGTCATCAGCTGTAATGTTACTTCCTTTATTCCCGGCAGAGCCCGCCCAGTTGCAACACAAATCACATCACGAGAGTTTTGTGCAAAATTATTTCCCCCCCTCCACAAATAGTTACAATTCACTTTTTTTAACCTTTTGAAAGAGTTTCATATAAGTCCTCAATATAAACAGGAAATTAAGTTGCATCAAGCTTCATTCTAAGTGATACAGTGATTCAAGAGAAAAAAATTTAAATAACCGTGCTGTGTATAAACCTGAGCTGAGGCATGTACTGATGGTGATGATGTCATAGAGGAGGAGGAAGAGTTGGGTAAGAAAGGAAAGTCCCTGTGAAAAAGCTCTACTTCAGCTCACATATTAAATCTACCCCCACATGCTGAACTGACACTGTGTCCTGTTTAATGTCGACTTTCATAAAGAAAGATTTCTTACAGCTCACGCTACCTTAATGGCCTTGAGGGAGCCGCTGAACAACATGTTGTGGGAGGACACCAGGGTGCACACGGGATTGTCATGGGCACGGATGGTGTTGACTTTCTGCAGGGTCTGGATGTCCCACACCTACGCAGGAAGAGCACAACAAACTTCTTCAGTTCATGCAAACAAATCAGACCAAATCTGCTGCGACGGAAACAAGCAGGAGGAATAAACTTACAATAATGGTGCAATCTGCAGAGCCACTGTACAGCTTGTTGCTATGGGAACAATAACACAGAACGTTATGCTTGAGGGGGGGACCAGATCTCCCAGCTGACACAAAGAACAGTGTGTGTGTGTGTGTGTGTGTGTGTGTGTGTGTGTGTGTGTGTGCAGCTCGTTACCCCTGGATACACAGAGCCAGCACAATGCCATCATGACCCTCCAGAGTTTTCTGGCACTTGTAGGTCGTGCAGGTGTCCCAGACCTTACAGCAAGAGAAAACACACACCATACTGACTACATGGTAACAACTCACATATACGTGTCAGAATCATAACAACTGCATGTTACGTTTGTGTGTGTGCTGCTTTCTTTAAAAATAAAAATATGTAACCAAATGTGGGTAAAGGTTGCATTTAAGCTAAAAATAGAGCCGTGTCCACAGGACAGTAGAGCCCGACCGAAATATTGTTGATTTGGTCAATAATTTAGACTGATAAAGATCTTTGGGGAACTGTTGGTATCAGTGGTAATTGTCTCATTATGGGCCAATATAAATATTTCTAATTTTCACCCCAGAAATGCTGGAACTAGCTGTAATTGCACAATGTATCCAGCAAAGGGCACATGAAGACTACTTTCAAATCATGGCCATTCACTTAAGTTGCACTTTCACATTCAGCACAGACGAAGCAGGGAGCAATACTGTGTAGTGTATTTTGCTGAACAGAGCATGCCAAGTTTATTTTAACTAGGGATGCACGATATTGGATTTTTGGCTGATATCCAACATGCCAATATGCTAAAACTTATTTGGCCGATTAACGACATTCCCCACCCCAGACCTACTTAGAGAGACTACAAAGCTTTCGCTGCTGTGGAATTAAAATACTACATTATTCTGCATGGTCTTTGTCAGTTTGTCCTGCTACCAAATGCAGATGCCAAAAAGGGGCTGAAAATGATGTAACACTTTAACTTGGATCATGTTTAATGTCAAATTTATTCATGACATTTACTCTGTCTAACACAATGACAACACTTGGAACAGTGCAAATTTGTAAATTTTCACAAATCTAAACTCAACCTGTTCACAAGTGACAAGAGAAAAACCATTCTTTAAAAATAAAGTGCTTTAATAAATATACTTGACAGTTTCTTAAATTAAAAATTAACTTAAAACAGAAGCCTTTTATATCAGCGAGTTATGTTGATGAAATGGCTGATGTTGGATATTTAACTTTATTGCTAATATCAGCCAATACCGATACCATGCCGATAATATGCATCCCGAATTTTAACTGATCTGTAAAACAAATCAACAATAATAAATTCTCTTCAATTCTTCAACCCGCTTGTCATTAGCTATGTGCCTCTCAAGTTGGTAAGCTAACGTTTAGATAACAGCAAGGTATTGCCTTGTAAAACTTTATTCAGAACAATAAAACTAACGTAGCGATAAATATATATCAGTGTTAGTAATGTTATCTTTGTCATCCTCAATGAAATGTATTTTTCATCTGAAATCTTTAATTCTCTGCAAAGAAAAATAAACTCTGATGCGGTCAATACTAATTATGCTTTCGCCATACATGACTGACTGTTTAAACAATGAACAGGTTGTTTAATTTATATTTATGTAACACACTGAATAACTTTATGGTGAATAGTGGAGAATAGAAAATGGAAACGCACATTAGGAATTCTGTTTTTATGACCAGTGCACCACTTGTGAACCTGCTGTGGGTCTAGGTGTAGCATGGATCTGATTAGCTTAGCTTCATGGATGCTAACAGCTGCGCTAAATAAACAAGCCCTGCTCCACTCCCTGTTTTCTTAAGATTCTTGATGGTGGACAAAGCTAAAAATTTTCAGCCATATTATCGGTATTGACGACAGCGAAAAATTTCCATATTGGTCAGGCTCTACAGAAGAGGGTTGATTTTTTTTTTTTTTTATTTCTACCTTAATGGTCTTGTCAGAAGAGCCGGAGAAGAGCAGGTCTCCAGTGGAGTACACACACAGACACCAGACAGGACCCTGGTGGCCCACAAACGTCCCCTTACACTTGAAGATCTGCTGCGGGTCGTAAGCTGCACACAAACACAGGAGTCAGAGCAGGAGAACTAAACGGGAATGTGAGGGTTACGAGCTGAAACAAGGTGGTCAAAAAAGGTCGCAGCACATGAAAACCCAGACAACCTGGTACATACATGGTATTCAGATAAGGTCCTGAGGAGACTAAAGTAAAAATATATATATATATTGTAGTAGTTTATATAAGATAATAATCTTTGGCTAGTTTTGTGTTAACAATTAATCAGAAATGTTTGCAGTCTGTGGGCGGTCTTTCTTCTGAGCAAAGTTTTGGGTGTCTGTCTCAGAATCACCTGGCCATAAAAACACGAGTTTCATTTCAGATGGACGGTTTAATCAACCAAAATATATCAAATCTGCTACATTCAGCTCTTTTCTAAAAATGGGAAAAGACTGATATACTGGTGAAGAATTACTACTGGTGGGTTTTTAAAGATGATGAGAACCAACGTGGTCTGTGTGGTTCTCAAAACTGATGAACACGTTTAAATTAGAGAAACTTCAATGGGATAATGTAGGTAACTGTGATGCTCTGTCAAACAGTTATCAGCCGTGACATCTGTCATAGAGCAGGGAGTGAGAGAAAAGGGCCGAAGTCTTTGTCCAGGCTAGGCTAACGGTCAAACGAGTGTTCAATTAATTTTTCAGGCTCAAAACACTAATCTTGTTCTCTATCGCAACAGCGACGTGAAACACCTGTCAGTGTTTCTCCTAGGTTACATGCCTTGGCAGAGCATTCAACTCTTCTGTGATTTTTGTCTGGGGGTGGGGTGGGGGGGGGCACACGTCTGTGTTGTGCGCCGTTTGTCCCAACAGTTGTCGACTGAAGGGGAACGTCGAAGGAAATGGGCTTAGTGTGAGGGAAATGAAGCGCTACCTCTGTAATGTGCACTGATAGCTTAGCGCTACGCCAGTGCTGGCAGTTGTGGGGGGTGGGGGGGTCGGTTCAGTAGGCAGGGTGCTTTTTTCCGTTGACCGGGGGGGGATGCCCTCCTTGTATATATATGCTTGCGTAATAACACGGATGTTGTTGTACACTGACTGATGTCACAGCTGAGAACTATTAGAACATTGTGTTAGGCAATTTTTGGTCAAAGTTTATGGATGTTTTAAACTGCTATGACCGAGACTCTGCCCATGAACCACATGTTTGAGTTAGCAGAGAGAGGCAGCTGTCACTCAAAGGTTGCCTCAGAGCTCGGCTAAACTGATAAGATATAAAAAACGAGCTACACACACTGCCCGTAGCCGATTCTTGTGACTGGTCTTGGTGTGTACTTCCTGTATAGCTGTGTAACGTGTCCTGACAATCTGTCCTCGTAAGTAAAAAAACAAATAAAAATCTTCTCCTGTCGTGTAGTGTGCCTCCTTTTGAGTACGAGAGATAACAAGAATATTTTTCTCCAACACATTGCTACAAAGTTAAGACTATTCTTTTAAAAGGACTACTTTTCTGTAGAACACCAACAGGCTGTGTGGTTGTGCTGGCAGTGAACTACATATTCTCATGCATCTGTGTGGACGAGAGAAAAAAATGGAAAAGCTATTACCGTAATTTCTGGACTATAAGCCGATACTTTTCCACACACTTTGAACACCTTGAACATGCTGTTGCTAATTTATAGAATTTTTTTTTGACAGGCTCACAAGCTTCATGCCACCAAAAACATTTCGCCTCGTCACACCTGGACGCTCACATAGATAGATGCCCAGTGCACGTCTATCTTGGGGGGGGGGGGGGGGGTTGTCCTCATGACTCAGTGAAACTACCTGTATGAATAAGTTAAAATGAATCTGACCAATAAAATTACTGAACAGATCACGGTGGACCAATGACAATAGGTTTTATTGGTCCAATGGGGAGCCCTCCCGTTGTGCCCCCAGGGAGGGGGAAACGTGATGAAGAGGACAGAGGACAGCACAAGCTCATGGGAGCAGTGCGCAGCATGTCTGTGGTGTGCAGGAGGAAGATGAAGATAGTGATCAATGACTTCCTTCTCGGCTACTGTATTGTTTTTACCAGATGTGCTACCGGCACTATTCATAATAAAACTTTTACTGCATGTATTTGTGTATGTTACTGGTACATGTTTCATTAAAAGTTTTTAAAAATCTTTCAGTGTACATATTTCATGTTACAACGTGGACAACCGCGGCTTATACACAAGTGCGGCCTGTATATGTCCAAAAATGTTTTTCTTTTCAAATTTAGGGGGAGGTGGGCTCAATAGTCCGGAAATTACGGTAGTTCCACTGAGGAAAGATTAAGCACAATACAGGACTTAAAAAAGTACGTACAGCCCAGGATTCCCATGTTGAGTCTGGCGTTGATGTGGGACAACTCGTCCTGTAAAGACAGTCCATGATGATCTTGGCTTCAACGTTTCATTTAAATTTAGAATCTCCAAACACTTACGTTAAGCATGGAGGCATCTCTCCTAAACTCCATCAGGTCCTCGCTGAGTTTACTCTGGTTCTCATCTAACATATCTAAAAAGACATGTAGACACACAAACACATTTTTATAGCATGAAAACCACGTTTTGAAATATTATACAGACTAAATTAGTCTCTTCTAAGAGCTCCTCTTATTAACTATAACAGCAGGATTTTAATGTAGTGATGCTGTTTTCTTAGCATTAAACAAACATCCATTCATGTTAATGTAAGAAATTTCAACTAATCGTGTGTTTTGTGCGTCATTTGCCTATTTCAGTCCAGCAGAACTTCAAAAAGGCATCGTTAGAAATCCTTGTTTTATCTCACCAAACTTAAGCTCCAGGTTTTTCTCCAGCTGATCCAACTTCTCAGAGAGTTTGCCCAACATGGAGCGCAGGAAAGCAATATCTTGGTCCTTCTGAGCCAGAGTCAGCTGCATCTCGTGGAACCTGAACGTGGTGAACACATGCTCAGATATATTTATGTATAGATGAAGGTCACGTCGAAAGGTTTGGATTCAGATCTGTAGCTCACCGGTCATCAGTCTGCTGCAAGAACTCCTTCAGACCCTCGAACTTACAGAGATCCAGATGTGTCTCGTATGTGTCCTGGTTCCCTATGAATGTGCAGCTGTTGGGAAGAATAGGCTGTGCTGATTCATGGAAAGTGGTTGTTTTTTTTTAAGAAATTAATTTAACACCACAGTAGATTTTTTCACAATTACAGATTCATACAGATTGATACAGATTTTATATACGCACACAGTACCTTGAGAAAGTATTCGGCCCCCTTGAACTTTTCAATATTTTGTTTACATATATATATGTATGTATACATATATATATATATATATATATATATATACACACACACATACATGTCCTTCTCAAAAAATTAGCATATTGTGATAAAGGTCATTATTTTCCATAATGTAATGATAAAAATGAAACTTTCATATATTTCAGATTCATTGCACACCAACTGAAATATTTCAGGTCTTTAATTGTTTTAATACTGATGATTATGGCATACAGCTCATGAAAACCCAAAATGCCTGTCCCAAAAAATTAGCATATTTCATCCCACCAATGAAAGACACGTGTTTTTAATACAAAAAAGGCCAACCTTAAAATAATCATGTTCAGTTATGCACTCAATACTTGGTCGGGAATCCTTTTGCATGAATGAGTGCTTCAATGCGGCGTGGCATGGAAGCAATCAGCCTGTGGCACTGCTGAGGTGTTATGGAGGCCCAGGATGCTTCGATAGCGGCCTTAAGCTCATCCAGAGTGTTGGGTCTTGCGTCTCTCAACTTTCTCTTCACAATATCCCACATGTTCTCTATGGGGTTCAGGTCAGGAGAGTTGGCAGGCCAGTTGAGCACAGTAATACCATGGTCAGTAAACCATTTACCAGTGGTTTTGGCACTGTGAGCAGGTGCCAGGTCGTGCTGAAAAATGAAATCTTCATCTCCATAAAGCTTTTCAGCAGATGGAAGCATGAAGTGCTCCAAAATCTCCTGACAGCTAGCTGCATTGACCCTGCCCTTGATAAAACACAGTGGACCAACACCAGCAGCTGACATGGCACCCCAGTGACTGTGGAAACTTGACACTGGACCTCAAGCAATGTGAATTCTGTGTCTCCTCTCTTCCTCCAGACTCTGGGACCTTGATTTCCAAAGGAAATGCAAAATTTACTGTAATCAGAGAACATAACTTTGGACCACTCAGCAGCAGTCCCAGGCGAGATGCTTCTGACACAGTCTCTTGTTCAAAAGTGGCTTGATCTGGGGAATGCGGCACCTGTAGCCCATTTCCTGCACACGCCTGTGCACGGTGGCTCTGGATGTTTCTACTCCAGACTCAGTCCACTGCTTCCGCAGGTCCCCCAAGGTCTGGAATCGGCCCTTCTCCACAATCCTCCTCAGGGTCCGGTCACCTCTTCTCGTTGTGCAGCGTTTTCTGCCACACTTTTCCCTTCCCACAGACTTCCCACTGAGGTGCCTTGATACAGCACTCTGGGAACAGCCTATTC